TCTTTCATCAGGTGTGTGATACATGTGAATTTAATTCTCTTATTGCCCGGGAAGAAAGATAAACCAGACATGGCCCTTACCCCTTTTCAGTAAGTATTTGTTAGATCTTCATTACATTTTGGGCCTCCTTCCTCCAGTCTCCTTACTGCGCAAAAGAGGGATAAACTTTGACCTCTTCAGTTAGTAAGTATTGGCTATAATGTTGCAAAGTATTTGCCATGGAAGCTCATAGAATTTGTAAGTCCAAAATGAGAGCAGCCTGTTTGCTTCTTTAAAGTGGTGTTTATTGACCTTCTTCCTGCCGTGTTACAAATCCATCATTTGTGGTGGATTGCCATTAATAATGGTTACTCTCTAGGTTAGTTCTCCCTGCCACCCATTTCTCTCCTGATGGTGTGTCCCTGGATACACTTACCCGCTATTTTTGTTTTGGGCCCCCGAAGTTTCCATTTTCTCAACATAGCTGCAACATTTAAAAATTAAGTGATAGCACACAAAAGTGTCCATTTCTGGCAACACTGGCCTGGAGTATTTGCATGGTGACAGCATATGGAGCAGGGCTGTTGTAAGTACCCTTTGAGAGGAAGAATGCATATCACTGTGTGCCTCAGTTCTCTCCCAGCCCCTCACATACATGTGTGTCACCTGTCTGGCCCTAAGGACATTTGAGACCTCCCTCTGTTCTTCTCTTTGCCTCGGAATAGCCTGGCTTTTAGGAAGTGTTCTCAGAGAGGCAAGTGACATACGAGCCCCTTCAGTGGCTCAGGTGTGAAGTCTTGGGCTTCTCTCCTATGGACTTGGAGTGAAGCCTTGTCAGTGACTGTAATGACCAAATGAGGACTTACTTTAGTTTGTGTTTGTTACTATCTTCTGTCATGTTAAGGGCATCTTTGTTGCTAAAGCAATGTCTTCTAAAATGTGGAAGGTCAACACTTTTCCCTTTACACTTGTAGACAGTGATGGATAAAAATAACTTCCTTGCTCTATAGTAAACTTGCTCAAGTGCAAAAGTTATATTTAGCTTCAGCAATAGGAGTCTGTAAAACTGTGTGAGAGAAAAGCCTTATTAACTGAAGTCATCCTTCAAACCTTTCTACCAGGGGTTCCAATAGCAATTGCTAAGAATAGGACAGCTTAAATTTTTTTTTTTCAATTGACAGATACTAAGAATGCCTGATATTTACTGACTTGAACATTAGTTAAATTCAGTTAGGGTGACCAGAGTGTTGCTATTTGTAGAACTGTTGCTTTGTAGAGTCATCCAAAGTGTCTTCCTAAGCTGTAACAAGTGTGCTTACTAATAATGTTTGACTCCTTAATGCTCAGTAAGCATTCAGTCAGAGTTCGTTTAATACATGGAGAAAGATAAGCTTTAGATCAAGGGTTAGCAAACCACTGCTTATTTGGGCCATGGCCTGTTTTTGTATAGTGTGGGAGCTAAGAGTGGGTGGTGTACATTTTTAAAGGGTTATAACAACAAAGAATAATATGAGATACAAACCCTATGTGGCCCATAAAACCTGAAATTTTACTGTAGCTCTTCACAGAGAAAGTTTGCTGATCCCTGCTTTAGATAATGGGGGTGCTCTACTACTCCCCTTTTCATTTATACTGTTATATAAGACTAAATAATCACTGTAGATGGTGGCATCATGTTGTTTACCTACGAAATAGGTGAGAGTGATTGCCAGACATATACATGAAGGCCTTGAATTAGAAAGCAAAGGAACTGATGATGACCAATGTTTAACAAAATTCAGACTAACTTTGTGCCTGATCCTTCAAAGGCTGAAGGTGGTATTTTTGGTACCTGAAACATAATTTCCCAGATAAGTACTCTTTGCCCAATTATTGCTTATCAGCTGTCTGAGATATTAATGTGTGAATTATTCAGCTCATATATCTTCAAGCACTCAACTGGTTAGTACTTTGAAATCAATTTTAATAGACAATTATCATACTACCGTTCTAGTCTTCCCATTTAAAAGCTAAATGCTGTTAGTGCTGGAGGGGTAAGATGTACCCTTGGTATATTTTCTGATCTCAGCAGAATCAACTACTTGGTAGTGTAGTCCAGAGAAAATGGGTCAAATCTATTATTTTAGGATTCTGAAATTCATAATTGAGACTGGTGACTTAAAAGGGAGCTGTTCATGGTACTTTACCCAGTCTTCAAGTTGTATGCCTCTGTAGGTTGGCATTTAGATGGGATGCTTTGGAAAGCATAATTAAGAAACTTTACTTGAATTTTGTTTATAATGGGCTGTTATTTTCTTATAGTTTGCAGTGTTGATGTGGGTATTTACCTATGTTGGTGCCTTGTTTAATGGTCTGACGCTACTGATTTTGGGTAAGTCTACAAAGCCATTGGGATGAAAAATTGCTGGAAAAAAGATTGTGTGCCAGGAGAGCTTAGACATTTTAGTGGGGAATATTCTCACTGTATGAAAAGTAGAGGATGAAAGTTTGGGCCGGGCGCGGTAGCTCACGCCTGTAATCCCAGCACTTTGGGAGGCCGAGGTGGGCGAATCACCCGAGGCCAGGAGTTCGAGACCAGCCTGGCTAACATGGTGAAACCCCATTTCTACTAAAATTACAAAAAAATTAGCCGGGCGTGGTGGCGTGCGCCTGTAATCCCAGCTACTCAGGAGGCTGAGGCAGGAGAATCACTTGAGCCCAAGAGGCGGAGGTTGCAGTGAGCCGAGATCGCACCATTGCACTCCAGCTTGGGCAACAAGAGTGAAACTCCATCTCAAAAAAAAAAAAAATGTTTGAGGTTGTATTCTCTTTAAATAAGTTGGTGATACTGCTTCCCAGTTTATTGAAATGCTACCTTAGGTGCTGAAGACTGCTCCTACTAACAGTGACAAACCAGATAAAGGCCTTATATGATGGTGCAGTCATCAGTCTTACCAGGGATACCTGTATTTTATGAAACCTGTGATATGAATTGAAGCTAGGAATGGTTCCTGGCTCTAATGAATAACTAACTGCAGCCTCACACCGTTCATTCACTCCTGGAGTGGCTCCTCAACAGCAGGTGCAGCCAGAGATCCTTATGTTCGTATTCATTCATTAGCAACACTGCTTGGTTATCTTGAGGTGCCAGTTTCATAGTTTTTTGAGTGTTTATTTCTCCCAAATCATTCTAGTCTTTTTGAAAAGTTGTGTATTTCCCTTTTCAGCTCTCATTTCACTCTTCAGTGTTCCTGTTATTTATGAACGGCATCAGGTAATTTCCTAACTGCTGACTTCAGAATAGAGCGCCCACTCTATTACATGGGATTTATGAATGTATTAGTGCCCATTTTCAATGTCTTATAAAAATGAGAAATGTGATAGTTTCTTAAGCCTTTAGTTTGACACATAGTAGTGGTTAATAACATTCTTTAGCAATGGTAATTAATGATTCCTTTATACCTCTCTTTCAGGCACAGATAGATCATTATCTAGGACTTGCAAATAAGAATGTTAAAGATGCTATGGCTAAGTAAGTATTTAAAAATCTGCAGTGTTTTTACTAGGATAAGGTGTGCTGGATTGTGAGAACAGTATTTTCATATTGCAGGCATAATGAGTAACGAATCTCTGTCAGACCTTAAGTGTGACTTCAGAGTTGCCAAAAAAGATTGTTTTTCTAACATTTGGACCATTCGTTTCTGGGTTTATTATGTGTTTAAGGCTTTGTTTAAATCTAATTCATGAGGCCAAGGTGGCAAAATTCAGTGTAGAATTAGGCAGCTTCAAGGATTTCATTTCTTGTGTTAGCTGAATAACATACAAGTGGTTCTTGGAAGATGGTATGTTAAGCAGCAGCAAACAAAACTGATATTTACATTGACTTTTTCATTTTCAGAATCCAAGCGAAAATCCCTGGATTGAAGCGCAAAGCTGAATGAAAACACCCAAAATAATTACTAGGAGTTCATCTTTAAAGGGGGTATTCATTTGAGTATATGGGGGAGGGTCAGGGAAGAACGAACCTTGACATTGCAGTGCAGTTTCACAGATCGTTGTTAGATCTTTATTTTTAGCCATGCACTGTTGTGAGGGAAAATTACCTGTCTTGACTGCCATGTGTTCATCATCTAAGTATTGTAAGCTGCTATGTATGGATTTAAACCGTAATCATATCTTTTTCCTATCTGAGGCACTGGTGGAATAAAAAACCTGTATATTTTACTTTGTTGCAGGTAGTCTTGCTGCATCTTGGCAAGTTGCAGAGATGGTGGAGTTAGAAAAAAAAGCCCTTTTCAGTTTGTGCACTGTGTATGGTCCGTGTAGATTGATGCAGATTTTCTGAAATGAAATGTTTAGACGAGATCATACCAGTAAAGCAGGAATGGAAAATCTTGCTTTTCTGGTATGTTCTAGGTGTATTGTGACTTTTACTGTTATATTAATTGCCAATATAAGTAAATATAGATTATATATATATAGTGTTTCACAAAGCTTAGACCTTTACCTTCCAGCCACCCCACAGTGCTTGGTATTTCAGAGTCATTGGTTATACATGTATAGTTCCAAAGCACATAAGCTAGAAAAAGAAAATACATTTCTAGGAGCACTACCATCTGTTTTCAACATGAAATGCCACACACATAGAACTCCAACATAAATTTCATTGCACAGACTTCCTGTAGTTAATTTTGTCACAAACTCAACTCTATGGACTGAATCTAATGCTTCCAAAAATGTTGTTTGCAAATATCAAACATTGTTATGCAAGAAATTACAAAATGAAGATTTATACCATTGTGGTTTAAGCTGTACTGAACTAAATCTGTGGAATGCATTGTGAACTGTAAAAGCAAAGTATCAATAAAGCTTATAGACTTAAAATGTACTTTGGTATTTTCATTTCATGAAACGAAACTGCAGATTAAAAATGCACATAGTGGGTAGACTTTGCTTCAACCAGTGAATGGTAGCTTGTGCTTTTAGAAAAGTTTTTTCAGCTGATGGTGCAGCTGTTTACTTGGGAAACAAAAGTCAACAAATGTGTTTACATAATCAAATTTATTTGACACATAAAATGTTTAAGTGATGTGTTTTATACTTTTTGAAAATAAATTCATGCACCGATATTTTAACGTATATCATACAGTGCAGGATTTATGAACATACATAAAATCATACCATATAAACGTTTACAAATAAGTTTTTCATGACACACGGACACTATTGCTCTTTAAGTATGGTTGTACATTTCATAACTAATCGATTTATTGTTCTTCCACGTGGTTATTTCAATGCAAGATCCGATCAGCATGAAGAGTCTAGTACAATATAGGCAGACATGGTTATCACTCAGCATCACCAGTCACATGGTTACAGAAAACAGAATTGGGACTGCATAGGGACTCTACTGTGGGCCCAACAACCTATTCAATTGATGTAAGGCATTAGTAAATTGGCATATAAAAATAGCTTAATGAGTGATCTAATCCATTTAGAATGCTGAAGCACTTCTGTGGTAAATGTTTGTTAGTCTATTCTTTAATTGAAAATGCTTCATTTTACCTTTTCTCTAAACTGACAAATGCAAGTAGCCAGTAAATGTAGATCTCGAATTTGTGTTCACTGAACGGAAGGACTAATAGGCGTCTATGTGCTCAGAACAACCAATCCCTCACCAGCTCTCCTTTCAGTGAGCACTGTCAGCCACATCCTGTAGTCACTGGTCAGCTACATGGAAAGTGTGACTGAGGGGGCGTACGGATGGCTTCTGGTAAAGATTGTCCAAGTCATATTCTGTCATACAACCAACTCCAAGGAACTCTAACTCACTTTATAATTTTGATTTACCAGCTATTCCTTGGGTTTACAATTTGTTCTGCAGGTAATTTTTTTAGAATCTGGACTTCACCTACATAGTTCATCTGAAGCAATCAGTGGAGTCACCTCAACTCCACTCAGGGTGGTACAATAAGGTGCAGCCTTGGGTTACCCCATTTATCTTAAGATTTAACAAGATAAGTCAGCTCATTCTCCTGGACCTTCCAGAGCCTTTTTTCCCTTCCATTTTATAGTAGAACTTTGTTTAATTTGAATTCTATTTTGGATTTTGTGGGTTTGGCACGAAACACAATGAAAACCCATGATTCTACCCCGTCCCGAACTTCAATTCCTTTGCTGCTCACCTTCCCATAAGCAGGTAACTGATGTCTTTCATTTAGGAAGCCTTGGCATGAACACAGGACAAGGGTGACATGCAGAATCTGCTAAGGGTCCTGCAGCCCTCCTCAGCTTTGAAGTTTTAGCACCATATGGAAAAAGGAGAAATTGGTGGGAGGTGAGACAGCAGCCCACACAACTGGAAACTTTCAAAGGCACTTAATGGATATAAAACTCTGCAAATGAAACATTAAAAAATTAAGTTTCTCAACTCCTTTATACATGGCTCATTTGGTTTTGAAAGCTAAATTGGAGAACAGAGGCTAGCGATACTTCTAGTACTTCGGTGCATCTAACTTAGGCTGTCTTGTTCAACTTATTTGTAAAAATGAACATTCTTGAAGTATATAGAAACAATAGCAAAACATCTTTGTAAAAGTTTTGATGCAAATTAAAAGCTACATATTGGTTTAGGGTAACCGAGGCTTCAAAATTTGTCAGCGGGCTACATTCTCAGATAGGAGTTCTTTGTCAGTGTAGTCAGTATGTATAGTGTTTAGTCTCAGGAACAGAGGCAAGCAGTCTTAACATTTTACAACTTGACCTTCCTTCGTGGCATCACAGTTTTGGAGAGTCCAGATTATGGGAGCAGCTGTGTAACTTCCGCAGCATTTTGAGCTTGTGCGTCCGGGGCAGCATGGTAGGCATTTCCCAACGACTGGTGGCAAGGAGGCACCTCAGCGTGGCCTCTGCAGTTGCTGGCTGGTAGCAGCAGCAGCAAGAAGAGGCTTCTGGCATTTACAGACATCGCCACACAAATACACTGAAAAGGCAGACCAAACAGTCATTTTGCATAGCTGGACGTCATACTTGTGTCAAGTGGCAAAAAACAATCTTGCCAAGTGCTCAAAAGTCAAGCTCAGGTGATGTACTGAACATTTTGACTTCAAAAGGTAACCCAGGGATCTTGCCACCAAATCAAGATCTATTGCTTTTTTCTTTTTTTTAAAGGTCTGTTTTTTCAATTGAGTTCTGTTTGGTTCCTTCAGCAGTTTGAATGTCTGTGCTGAATGTTGGTCCGTGAGGACTTTTGGCACTTTGATATCACACTCTCTCCTGTTACTATTGAAAAGGTTTATCAACTCCACTTGAGTCAGAGAGCCCTTTCGAGTGTTTAGCACAGAGCCGGGGTCACAGCGTGCTCCCGTGCCTACAAAGGCCTATAAGCCCTGCATGGTTAAGGTCACTTCTAAGTCTTTTATATTAAAACACAGCGTGCATTGGGGTGACCAGTTCATTTATGTCTCTTACTCCTAGCTTGTTGATAGTTTGCTTGGTGCTGCTTTGAATGGGTGTTTGCACTCTGCAGGGAGCTGCTGTCAGTCCTATCTCAAGGGCTGTAAGTGCCAGAAGTAGCCAGCACAGCAGGCTGGAGATGGGTGCTCCCAGGCAGGCCATCAGAAATATGCAGTGCTTTGGAGTGGGAAGTGGGACGAAATTCTTTATAGGTGCCTTTCTTACAACCTCAGACCACTAGGAAGTATCAGAATGCGTGTATTTCTTCTTTATCCCCTCAAGAGTTTTGCTTGGGCTGAATAGAACCCAGTATTCCTGCTACAATGAAGCTCATCAGAAATGGGGAAGCTGAGTGAGTTAGAATGACCTAGTCCTGTTCCTTTATACTATAAATAAATAAATTCCCAACACTGGTGATCAACTGGGAGTTCTATGGATGAATTTCCATTCTAACCTGATTGTGCACAACAGCCCGTGGGCTGCCAAGAGCTCCTACTCCAATCAGCCGTCTCAGGTCTCAGCCACCTGTCCTTGTCCCCCAGCAGTGCCCAGAGTAGCTATCACATACCCACGCCATCCCAGGACAGCTCCAGTCACAACCATTGGGTTGACAGTCACCAAAGAGTAAATGCCTTATCTCGGAAAGTACTTGCCTTCATGAGGACTCATGGAATTTCCTGTTTATTAGCCCAACATCAGCCCTCCCCATGCCCCTGGGAGAGGCTGACTCACAGCACGCCTGAGATGGGGAGGGAGAGCTGGCCAGGCCTGGGGAGTAAGAACTGGGTCCGCTAGGTTAGTACCTGCAGTCGTCTCCTCCAGTGCTGACCACATACTTGTCGTCATAAGAGAAACGGATGTTTGTCACGTGAGCCGAGTGACCAAAGTATCGCTTATGTTTGGCCTGTGAGCAAAAGTGAATGGAGACAGTTAAGAGACTCTGGCTCCTCTCAGCAACCACAGACTCCTTCCAGCACTCAAATCCCCTGCTCCCAGAACCTTCCTTCACTGGGGACTCCCATTTGGTCTGGACTCATCTATTAGCCAGCCTTTGGCTGACTTTCCTGCCTCTCATCCTTGCCCCACTTCCGGCCATTTTATCTACCTTCCATCCTCCCTTCTGGCTTCCAGGACTGCCCCTCCCGGGAGGTGAAAAAGTCATTGCCATATTTCCACAGTACTGGGACAGGGTTTCTCTGTGTCTCCCAGAGGTTCATCTAGATGTGGCCCCTGTCTCTTGCAGACGGGAAAACAGAGAACCTGCAGAAAGGTTACTCTGAGGAAGACTCACAAATTTCTCTGTGCACGGAAAATCAAAGAGCTTCACCAGCCCAAAGTCATCTCCTGTGACAATGTTCAGGCCAGCGTGGGTCACACATGCGCAGTTGACATCAGCTTTGTCTGCATTTCGTGGCCAGATTCCAATGACTTCATCTCCCAGGACACTGTTCCAACAGAAAGGAGGGTTAGAAGGAAGTCACGTGCAAAGGTTTCTTGCAGTCAGTCATCACCTCCCAGGGATAAGGAAGAGAGGGATGTTTAACATCAGGGGTCCCCAAAAGCCAGGCCGCGGACCGGGACTGGTCCATGGCCTGTTAGGAACCGGCCGCAGGGCAGGAAGTGAGCAGTGGTGGCTCCACCTCCTGTCAGATCTGCCGTCGCAGTAGAGTCTCATAGGAACCGCGAACCCTAGTGTGAACTGAGCATGCGAGGGATCTAGGTTGCAAGCTCCTCGAGGTGGAACAGTTTCATCCTGAAATCCCACCACCGACTTGGTCTCTGGAAAAAATTGTACTCCATGAAACTGGTCCCTGGTGCTATTTTATGTAATTCCGTACAGCCATGGGGCCCTCCTGGCATGAAAGCATCTGTCGTCTTCCCCTCTGTACATTTGTGCCAGCTCTTACTGTTCCCCCTCTGCCTCAGTCCCCTACACTCCAAAAACAAAAGTTACCCCCATCTTTGATTCTCTCCCTGTTCCCTATGGTCCCCTTGAATATGTGTGTGTTGGGGAGAACAGCAGGGGTTCCTTTCAACTCACAGGCTAAATGGCCTCTTTTCCCATGAATTAGCCATTGTTTCTCATCCTGCTAAGCAGGGGTCTGGCCCTCCTACTCCCTTCCCCTGGTGATTGGAGACCTCACTGTGCACTAGGATTGGCCAAGAGACGGCAGATGGTTTCCTGTTGAACTTGATGGAAGGGGTTGGAGACTTGTAGGAGAAATTACACAAAAAGAGGGACTTTGCATTTCAAAAACCTAGGTCAGATCAAAGCCAGTGTCTTACACTAGTGCCAAGAAGCCTCCCACCCTCACCCCCAAAAGAAAAGACAACGCCATTTCTCAGCTTCTCCAGATCCTGCACAAACTTGGAGGCTGAGCCTGAGACAAGAGACTCTCTTGTGACCTTTTCCTCAGGTTTTTTCTTCCAGTCAGTCACCTTGTCCAGGAGGCCCAGGTGATCTTCTCAATGACCATGGCTTCAGTTACCTGCTTCCCCAGGGGGACCTCATGCACCTGGCGCTTATAGGCACCTGTTGACACCTGGAGGTAGAAGAGAAGCCATGTTCATCAACGTTCTTTCTCAGTTCCACAGACTGCCTTTGGGTGCACTGTTTCCCAGAACACTGGCCCAGCTTCTGCATCCCGAGGGCTTTTCTCCAAACCCAAGCTCAGCTCCAGGCTGCAAAGCCTATGGCCAGCCCACGGCAACACCAGCAGGCCATTTCCCCATCTTTCTTCTCATCCATTTTCTCGCTATTTTCCAGAGTCCTAAGGCAGCAATTCTCTTGAGTGTGGCTCCTGACCAGCAACCTCAGCTGCATCTAGAAACCTGTTAGAAATGCAAATTATTGGGCCCCACCCCAAACCTACCCAGACACAGAAAGGGTGGGGCCCAGCAATGCCGGCTGTAACAAAGCCGCCAGGTGTTTCTGATACACAGCAATCCCAGTTCTCAGGAAACCAAGAACCTTTGGTACAGAGGTAAGGCAGGTTTCTCACACCAGCAGCTGATACAGGTGATCTCTGAGGTGTCTAGAACCTGACCCTTGGTGCTCTGGGAATCTTCTAAGGGAAACAGACCACTTTTCCTACCATCAAGGACAGTTGCAGTGAATGGCTGCTGCCTTCCTCTTCAGCCTCCTCTGCCCCTGCAGTGCTTCTCCTGGAATGAGCTGGGAAGCTGAGCTCTTTCCTGCCTCGGGCCTTTCATGCAGATGGACTGGAACAGTGTTCCCACCTCTCTGCTGGCTAACGCCTACACACCCTGCAGACCTCAGCTGAAATATCGCTTGCTGAGAGGAAGTGCATCTAAATTCAGCACCTTGTTACATGCCCCCCAGAATGCTGTACTTTTCCTTCTTGGCACATAATCACAGTTTGTAATTGTATTTATATTTTGTGATTGTCTGTTCAGTGCTTGTCTTCTCTGTTACAGAGCAAGCTCCAGAAAACAGGGACTGAAACTGCCTTTGCAAAATTATGACTGAGACAGTGAAAGAGATCTAACTTAACTGGCTCCATCTTGCTTCCAACCTACAAGCTGTCCTTGTTCATTCCTGGACTTAGGCTGAACTATGGGAGAGTTCATAGTTTATGGTTTAAACAAAGATGGTGGTAGCCCTTTCCCAAAGCAGACCTCCTTGCCTGGGAACTAGATTGCCTTTGTAGGACTAACATCAGCCAAAAGATTCGAAATTATGGTTTAGGAGTCATGCAGCTGGAGGCTACAGGATTCTGACCCTCAAACTGCTCGTAAATTCAGTGCTTGAGACATTTTGCAGACCCTGCACTTGATGGATCAGCTGGCCCCACCCAGATCAATAAAGTGGCTCATCTGATTTTGTGGCCCCCCACCCAGGAACTGACTCAGTGCAGGAAGACAGCTCCAACTCCCTATGATTTCGTCTCTGACCAATCAGCACTCCAGGTTCACTGGCTTCCCCCCACCCACCAAATTATCCTTAAAAACTCCGCTCCCCGAATGGTCAGGGAGACCAATTTGAGTAATAAAACTCCGGTCTCCCGCACAGCCAGCTCTGTGTGAATTACTCTTTCTCTATTGCAATTCCCCTGTCTTGAGAAATTGGCTCTGTCTAGGCAGCGGGCAAGGTGAACCCCTTGGATGGTTACCGGACCAGTCTCCTTTTGTCCATCTAAAAGTCTAGCATAGTGCCTGGTTCAGCAAATAGTTCAATGAATAAATACATCCTCTCTCCTTTTGCAGTGAACATCCAGCTCCAGGACAGCTCACAAACGCAGATTTGTTGAGTGCTGGAGAAATCATTCTGTTTTCAGGGGTCAGTCCCAGCAGTGGACCCCTCTCCCTCCCTTCCACTGGTCAGCTGCCTTGGGACCCAGGGATGAGCTTTCACTCCAGGCCTACTGGCTGGAGTCCAGGGCCCACATATGGAGGGGCCATTCTACCCAGTAGAGTTTGGAAATGACATCAATAAATACCAGAAGTGGCACAAGGCTTAGGTGTAGCCCAGAAAACTAGAAATCAGGAAACTCTGAAGAGGAGGTGGTGTCAGGCCTCTGAGCCCAAGCTAAGCCATCATAACTCCAGTGACCGGCACGTATACATCCAGATGGCCTGAAGCAACTGAAGATCCACAGAAGTGAAAATAGCCTTAACTGATTACATTCCACCATTGTGATTTGTTTCTGCCCCACCCTAACTGATCAATGTACTTTGTAATCTCCTCCACCCTTAAGATGGTTCTTTATAATCTCCCCCACCCCTAAGAAGTTTCTTTGTAATTCTCCCCACCCTTGAGAATGTACTTTGTGAGATCCACCCCTACCCCCCAAAACATTGCTCTTAACCCCACCACCTATCCCAAAACCTGTAAGAACTAATGATAATCCACCACCCTTTGCTGACTTTCTTTTCGGACTCAGTCCACCTGCACCCAGGTGAAATAAACAGCTATGTTGCTCACACAAAGCCTGTTTGATGGTTTCTTCAGGCAGACACGTGAGACAGTGAGGGGCAAATTAAGGATGATTAGGGCTTGTGTTTCCTGCTTTTCTTACTCTTCACTATTTTAAATTCTCTAAGTCTCTGTTTCTACATTTACAAAACATGAAAAAAGTAACTACTTAAGGAGTTCTGGTGAAGAGTGAGCACATTGCCTGGCACACAGTAAGGACTCGATTAATATAGGCCATTGTTATTATTGCTGTTATTATTCGTTGCCCCAGATATCAGTAAACCCTAAGCATACCTGAATGTATTTGCCATCTGCAGAAAAATCCATCTGAATGACAAAGCTTGGAATATCTTTGCAGTAGCCAATGCGGTTCAGATTTGTGCCCTGAGTGAGGTCATAGAAGTCGACTGTGTGTTCAGAAGAACCAACGGCTAAGAATCGGTTGTCTGGGCTGATTCTAGAAAAAGCAATCCAAGAGCAGGGTCCATGAGGAGGGCTGTTTGGGGCTGGTCAGGCATGAAGGCTGCTCTGACAGGCCTTCCAGGCCCAAAGGAAATGAGAGCCGCCTTGTGACTCACATGTGGTCACCTCTCCTGGCATTCTATAGAATTCAACCATTTATCTGGATCGAATCCCCGGGAAATATGGTAGAATGACATTTACAAGTAATTTTAACCACACTGATATGGAAATTAGCAAAGCCTTGTCTGAGAGCGAGCGTGGGAGAAGGTATTCTTTCATAGGTGACTTGTTGAAAGTGACTCGCTCACAGCTGAGTTCTTTATTCCAGCCGTGGCCGGAATGGGAACCACTGGTAAGCAGAATGCTTGCCTTTCTCCTCCACGCCCAGACCACCCACTTAGGTACCTGATATCTTGGATAGCAGATTTCCGGTCTCTTTTTTTCCCCCAAACTTTCAGGCTGTTCACCAACAAGATGACAAACTCTCCATTCTTCATGCCAATGGCCACCATCTCCCCGTCAGGGCTGTAGGCCGCACACCTGGCTGCGTGGCCCAGGCTCACCTTGTTTAACAGCTTCTGCATTGATGCAAAGGAAAGTCACCTGAGCCCTTGGACCCCTCGGCTGGTCTCCAGGAGACATCGTGCACCAGGCCAGAGAAGTCAGGCTGACTTTGCAGCCACTGCAGGCCACCAAATCTCTTACTTCTTAGAGTAAATGTCCCTGAATAACTGAGGTGGGCTGTATGTTTTGATTAGAGCAGCTTGGGGGACAACAAGTTTTAGGGCTGTGGCTGGCAAACTTTTTCTGTAAATGATTAGGTAGCACCTACTTTAGACTCTGTGGGCCATAAAGTCTGTCGCAACTACTCACCTCTGCCTGCTGTAGTACAAGACAGCCACAGTACCTGAATAAAACAGGGCAGCTGGACTTGTAGAAACAGGCCACAGGCCAGATCTGGCCTTTAACTATAGATTGCCAACCTCTTGTTTAGGGGAAAGAGTTTGAGCTTCTGCCTCTGCTGGTTCAAATTCTGAATCCTGGCCCTGTCACTTACTAGCTGGGTGTGTTTGGGTAAATTACATCTCGGTTTCTCTAGTTTTACTAATAGCGATGTTAATAAGGGCTTTGCGAGGTTATTGTAGGCACTGATCATGTCCATGAAGCAGCTGGGGTTATGTAGGTCAAGTAGTGACAGCTGTTGCTAATGATGTTTAATAAATAATTACAGAAACTAACTTAGGAGTCTAACAACCATACTCAGGCTTTTACCTGTCTATTCTGTGACTATGACACTAAAAATACAACATTTACCAGCCATTTTAAAATGAAACCAAGCATTTTAATTAGTAGAACCTGAGTACTTGTTTTAACACTGGATAAGGCACGAGGATTGGGAAGAACCCTTCGTTCCCCCCGACCCGCCCCCTCCACCCAGCCACTCCCTGCTATTTCACAGTTTTACTCCAGGTGAACTTTAACACTGCCTTCCCAAACTCAAAGAGAAACCTTGTTGGGATTTTGACAGAAATACATTAGGCCCATTTGGGAACATTGACATTTTAAATCATTTTTAGTCTTCTCATCCAGGGAAAACATCATTTGATTCCATATTTTTAGTTTTGTGGGTTCTTTCATGACAAGAGAATAATCGTTGTCAAATATATTGTTTAGATGGGTTGTGGTGAGTGGGCCTTCTTTTATTGTTAGGTTTTCTACCTTGATCTCCTATCTGGCCCCATCCCCGTCTCCGCCATGATGCTGGCTGGGCCTCCCCTCGCTCAGCTCCCGGCCGGCAGCCCACTCGTGGGCATCTGAGTTTGGGCAGAGTCGGCCTCACCTTGTCAGCCAGGTCCCAGATCCGGGCTGTGCCGTCGTTGCTGGCAGAGATGAACAGGTCCTTGGAAGGGTGAGTGGCCAGGCCCCAAATCTCCCCTTCCATGTGACCATCAATCAGGATATTAGAAGCAGCATTTTTTTCACCAACTTCAATTATTTCTCCGTCTTTGGTTCCCACTAAGATTTTTCCCTGTTGTAATTGAAACACTATTAGAAAAAGGACAAACAAAACACAAGTAACTTGGGAAAATGCCTTTGCAGGGTTAATATTAAAATAGGAAGGGGTGAGAAGTGTTGCTTTTGTTTTTGAGACAGGGTCTCACTCGGTCACCCAGGCTGGGGCGCAGTGGTGACATCTTGGCTCACTGCAACCTCTGCCTCCTGGGTTCAAGTGATTCTCCTGCCTCAGCCTCCCTAGTAGCTGGGACTTCAGGTGCCCACCACCACACCCGGCTAATTTTTGTATTTTTAGTAGAGATGGGGGTTTTACCATATTGGCCAGGCTGGTCTCGAACTCCTGACCTCAAGTGATCTGCCTCCCTTGGCCTCTCAGAGTGCTGGGATTACAGGTGTGAGCCACCACACCTGGCCAGTGTTTTGTTTTTAACAACAAACCGTCCGTTCCTAATTGCTCTTTTCCACCCTTTCACTTTGCCTTTTCTCCATCAGCTACCTCAGGGGAGAGCTTCAGCACAGACCTGACCTTCAGCACAGCTCTCACCTGGGTGAGAGCTCCATCACCCAGCCTCTGCTAGAATATTCCAGTGACTGCAGAGCACGGCAGCCAATTCCTGTTCTTGGACAGCTCAAACTCTTAGTAAGTTCTTCCTTCCACTGAACAAAATTCTGCTTCCTGGCCAGGTGTGATGACTCAGGCCTATAATCCCAGCCCTTTGGGAGGCCGAGATGGGTGAATCACCTGAAGTCAGGAGTTTGAGAGCAGCCCAGCCAACATGGCAAAACCCCATCTCTACTAAAAATATAAAAAATTAGCTGGGCGTGGTGGCGGGCGCCTGTAATCCCAGCTACTCAGGAGGCTGAGGCAGGAGAATCGCTTGAACCCAGGAGGCATAGGTTGCAGTGAGCTGAGATCACACTGCAGCACTCCAGCCTGGGCAACAGAGCAAGACTGTCTCAAAGAAAAAAAAAAAAAAATCTACTTCCTGATAACTTCCAGGCTCCAGGTGTAGTCCTGCCTTCATGTCTGATAACTACCCTTCCAGGTGGGCATCACTTAGCTATTTAAGAACAAAATCCCCAGTTTCGAATCACGTGGTATTCCACATCTGGTTTGCCTTTTTCATGGAGAGCATCTAGAAAGCAAATTCTTAGACTGATATTCAAAAACATAAACACAAGGTATTCGATCAAGGTTTGGAGATTGGCTTTTAAGTGCATCAAATCTCCTGGGGGAATTTAAATAGAAGGAAATAGAAGGGAACACACAAGTCAAGGCCCCATCCCTGAGATTCGGATTCAGATTTTGGTCCAGTCCCAAATGGATGCCCGGACATCCATATTCTTTAAAACTCACCAGTTGTTTTGGATGTGCTGCCAAATGTGAGTTGGAAACCAATGGCTTTGAGTCAGACAGTTTAGTTTGGTGGCCCTTACCTCCTCCTTATTGACCCTATAACTTAGGGCATAGGCAAACTATTTAGTATCTCTGAGCTTATGCGAATATCATCTATAATACTAGTAGCTAACATCTCCTGAATGGGACTATATGCCAGGCAAGATGAAAGGCACTGTCATGTATAAATATGTGACCCTCATGACAAACCTGTGTACTGGACACAAAAACATGAAGGAACACACCCAAGGTCACCCAACTGGTTCTTCCTGGGGGAGTCTGACTCTCTTAAGCTGCTTCCCACTACAGCACAATTCACATCTTGAAGCCTTGTTTCAAGGATTAAACCAGTCCAGGGAAAGTGCCTGGCTCGGAAGGTACCTACACTTCCCCCTTCCCTGGCCCAGCCCCCAGGGGAGCTGGCTGTGCTCACTTTTCCACGGCACACAGAGCGCACACACTCCACCAGCTGCCCCGTCTCCAGCTGAAAGGCCCGGCAGCGCTTCATCTCCTGGTCCCACAATTTTACAGCACCTCCTTCTTTGGTCCTAAAAAAGATTGAAAGGGACTCAGGCCGTTAACCCTCATCCTAAGACCCACTCCTGCCTCCAGGCCTCTCCCCTGTTTCCCAGTCATCAGGGTCCTCGCTGGTTGGAGCCCAGAAGGACAGACCCTCGGGGGTCCAGACCCTCCAGGCAGCCTCCCTCTTAGGCCCTGCTGCTGAGCGATCCCAACCTCCTGAGCTTGCAGATTTCCTAAAATGCCTTCAAATGCTACTATCTTGGGAGGAAAGAAAATGTAATTTGGAAATTCAGACTTTTTATTAGATGAGAACACAGAAACGTTTCTCCTGTCTTCAGGCTTTGCTTCCACATCTCCCCTCTCCTTCCTCCATTCCTCCACAGAGCTACCAAGAATAACATTTTATCAACAGCAAAGTCACTGTGGTTTGTTCAAGAATACCTCTCAAGATTTGGTTTTTAATTTTTATTTATTAATTTATTTTGAGATGGAGTTTTGCTCTTGTCACCCAGGCTGTAGTGCAATGACACAATCTCGGCTCACTGCAACCTCCGCCTCCTGGGTTCAAGCCATTCTCCTGCCTCAGCCTCCCAAGTAGCTGGGATTACAGGCGCCCACCACCATGCCCAACGAAATTTTATATTTTTAGTAGAGATGGGGTTTCACCATGTTGACAAGGCTGGTTTTGAACTCCTGACCTCAGGTGATCTGCCCACCTTGGCCTCCCGAAGTGCTGGGATTATAGGGGTGAACCACTATACCTCTCTCGGGTTTTTAAACTACCATCAAACCACTTTTGCACTCCTCTCTTCCTTCTGAGGATCTTGACCTAGGGCCCTCTCGGAGAGAGAGCAGACTGATCTTCCTAAAGCAAAAAAGATAGGAGGATGACAATCTGCATTTTCTCCAAGCTGGGGACACTTCTGTCAGTTTCTCCCAAGATAACAACAAACGACAAGTTGTTTCCACAGGAGCTTTGGCTTACGGCCGCTCTTTTCCGCCGGTCACTATGAGTCCATCCCGAAGGGTTGTGTACATTGTGAACACGGGGCCTGTGTGAGCCTTGGCCACCAGCCGGATGAGGAAGTGGTCCTTCCACACGTAGACGTCTCCATTGATGGCACCCGTGAAAGTGAGGTTGTTCTGTAAACAAAAGAACATCTTCTATACCTGGAACACACTCAAGCAGGTCCCTCCCCAGGCACCCGTTCTCTCATTAAGGAACCACAGCTAGAGACGCAGACACGCCAAGGCGGTTTGATCTTTTTGTGCTAAGGAAAGCAGCAGAAATTGCAGAGAAACCACTGAGAGCACATCACAAGGTAGTCCGCCTGGCTTGGAAATTAACTATATGTAATTGGCTTGGGCATTTGACTTCCCCTCTGAGCACAGCTGTGCATTAGCAAGGACTTCTCTTCCGTGAGCACTGCCCAAGTGACAGCAGGGGCAGGGGCAGACTCCGGGCCACAGGACACTTTCCTGGAGCTCCTCTATGAAAGGGAGAAACCCACTCCTGGAGGACCATGAAGTGACTGTGTTCCAACATGTCTCCATTTTGGAGCCTGCAATGGCTGAGGGCACCCCACAGCTCACTTAAGGGTGGCAAGTGGGGGCATCTGTGGCACAAGAGGGCTGGGAAGAAAAAGGATCATTATCTAGCAGTAGAAATTGGTCCCAATATTCTCTGGGGCTTGCAAGTCAGGGTTGCCCTTACAACAACAAACCTCCTGTCCTGGGTGGGTGTCCTACCTTTTCTGGTTAATATTTTAAGAAAAAAAAAATATTGGCCGGGCGAGGTGGCTCACGCCTGTAATCCTAGCACTTTGGGAGGCTGAGGTGGGCGGATCACCTGAGGTCAGGAGTTCAAGACCAGCCTGGTCAACATGATGAAACCCTGTTTCTATTAAAAATACAAAAATTAGTGAGGCATTTTTGTATTGGTGGCAGGCGCCTATAATCCCAGCTACTTGGGAGGCTGAGGCAGGAGAATCACTCGAGCCTGGGAGGTGGAGGTTGCAATGAGTCGAGATTGCACCACTGCACTCCAGCCTGGGTGACAGAGCAAGACTCTGTCTCAGAAAAAAAAAAAATATATCTATATATATATATAGATATAAATATCTATATATATATTGTCAACCCACCCATATGTGCTACAGAAACGGAACAATGGTTGCAAATAAGCCAGTACAGGAGCTAATGTGGAAATGGCTTTCCTGCTGTTTTCAGCCTCTTGGCCAAACTCCCCTCCTGCCCATGCCCGGGGGGCCTGGGTCCCCTTCTCAGGGAGCAGCTGCTAGAACTCACAGCACCGAAGGCCACGGAGAGCATCGTTTGCATTTTGGCAGCTCCCAGGGACCCGATGACTCCTTTTTTGTAAAGCAAGGCGCTGCCTGCCAGGGTCCAGAACTTCATATGTTTGACCCCGACAGATACAAACTGTGTGTCTGAGTCAGGGCGAAATTCCACCACGAATATGCGCTCCAGGTGACCCCCTCGGCTGGCAACCTTGGCACCTGTGTGGGTGACAGAGTCCAGTGAGGCTCCTCATTGCTTCATGGGCCAGGTAGGGGGAGCCACAGCCCAGGAGGTCTCCACCCCAGCAGGCTTGGGGCATGCCTCAGTTCTTCTTTACAGCACTTGCTCTCTCCCCTTCAGACACTACTCCCAGGTAGCAGTGGGGAAAGTGTGTCTGGGAAGTTTCCAGAGCAGCAGGTGCTAGTAACAGATCCCCACACCCAGGCGTTCATGAACGTAGCAGGAAAGGATGGCCTGTGAGACGGAAGCTTCCAGATATGAGAAGGCAGCAAAGTGGCTTAAAGATATCCCCCATCCCCCTTCCATCAGCACAGGAGTCATCCCCGCACAGGACGACAGAGCTGCTCCCAGAGTGCCACTGGGACTCACATTCCTCTAGACAGCTTTTCTTTTTTTTAATTATTTCTAAGATTCTCCTGCATTTTCTTTCTTTCTTTCTTTCTTTCTTTTTTTTTTTAAGCTCCCCATTTTCCTTTGTATTTTGTGGTGTTTAGGTTTAAATGTTTTTTAAGTACTAGTTTTTTCCTCAACCCCATTTATTTATGTTTTTGACTGTCTCTTGAGTTTTATTTAACCTTCATCTTAATACAATTCCAACTCTATCATTTACTTGTACAACAACTTTAGACAAGTCATTTAAGCTCTCTGTGCTTCGGTTTCCTTACCTATAAGATGGGGCTAATAATCGTTCCTATTTCAGAAGGTGCAGTGCAGACGAAAAGAACTGACCTAAGTGAAGCCCTGAGCACAGTGCTTGATGATCTGAGCAATCATGTCTTAGCCAGTATTAGTAGTAGTAGTAACAGTATTATCATAACTCCTTTAGCCCCTTTTAAAATTTCTTGGCTTCTATTCTTTTAGCCTGTATTTTAAACCCACCTTTTAAAAATCTCATTATTTTTAAGCTCTTGAGTTTTAAATTTTCGTTTTAAACCTGTTACCCTTTAACTTACTCTGAATGTTTTTGTTCCAATTTCTTAATTGTCACCCCTCCCTTGATTATTCACACACATATTTGTTTCTTCTTTGTTCTCATCACTTCACGTATGTTTTTACGACAGCTTTCTAGCACCGTGGTGGTGGTGGCTTTTGGTGTAGCTGGGCCCTCTGATACTCCCTCACAGAATCTCGTTCCGGGCGAGGCTGGGGAAAGCCAGAGTCCTTCTCCCAGCTGTAATTCTGTCTGCATGTGGAATCCCTGACTTACTGTAACAGATCTCTCTCTACTTAGGGCTCAGAGGTTTTAAGATCCACGATCTTCAAGGACACCATAAACAAAGTAAGACAACAGACTGGAAGAAAGCATTTGCAGTGCTTGTAAGATTCAGAGGATTAACATTAAAGATCTATAAGAAACTACAAATTATAAGTAAAGACAAACAACCCTCCCACCTCAAGTAGTAAAAGGATTTGAGCAGGTGAATTACAAAAGCAGCATACAAGTGGCCAATAACGAGATGGAAAGAGGATCCAGCTCACCAGTCTTGGCAGAAGTGCAAACATACAATGAATTGGATATTTTTTCAAGGCCACCATTTGTATTTTCCTTGTTTTCATTTCATGGACACTTCTAATTGTGGAGACACCTGTATCACTCTTTGCATTGGTTTCCAGTCTGCTTAGAGCAAATTACACATATACCTAGGACCTGACAACATGGATTTTATGTAATAAGTTCATTTTAGTTCTATTTTATTTTTACCTACACACACACACGTGCCCCAAAACAATCCTCTAATAAATGAAGAATGAATAATAGGCTCTGGTGATATACAAAATGTATATAAACCTCCCCAAACACAGGGTATTTATCTGTAAGTAAGACTTGAAATGAAGGCAAACCCACACAGGAGAAGGAAGGGAGGAGAGATGACATGTCCGTGGTCAACCCGGAAGAGGTGGTGGCTGGTGATATGTCAGATATCAGCACTGGCTCACAACCCTCTGTACAAACAAGAGCAGGCTCCTCTTTTTCCTGGGAGCTTGTTTAAAAGCCCTGGCTCCTCTAAACCTCCCCTGGGAGTTCAGAAGGGACTCTTGGTGAGCAAGAGTCTGCCGGGGCAGGCCAGAGCGAGCAACGCTTGGAGGTCAAGGTAGAGGGAGTGAAAACTGTGAGCCCGAACCTAAAGAGACAAGGCCGTGCAGCAGGACCAGTGTGAGAGCTTTCTTCCAAGGATCTAGGAACAGAGTTAGCAGCACAAAAGGAAAACATAATGAAGCAATTTATGTCCCCACATAAGGGGCTTTATGCAAGAGCTTTCTGACAGCGTGTGGGCTGCCTTGTGAAGTGATGAGAACCACATCCTTGAAAGTATTCAAGCACAGGACAAAGGGGTGCATTTGGAGGAATTTCTCCTTAGGACGGGTCCGGACTGTGCAGGAAGTCTTCTCTAGTTCTTCCCATTCCAAGATGCTCTATATCTATCATTTAAGAGGCTCAATTTCTCTGGGCTGAGTCTGGTCAATCAGTTGGCCACTTGACATCACAAGGAATGAATCTGCACCCGAGATACTGACTATACAGCCAACTGGGTGAGATATACTGGTGAACAAGAGAATGGGAAAATGTGGTTTCCTAGAAACCTTAGAGATCATGTCACCTTCCGAAGGAATATGGTATCATCACAAATGTCTGCAAGCTGCCAGCCTCTTTTCCTCATATGGGGTGCTCAGGAGGGACGGGAACTTTCCTCCCATTGTGCTGATCTCTTTACAGCCTCCACACACCACCCCCTCCATGGGAAGATGAGGAGATAATGGGACTCCAGAGCCCTGGATGGGAGAAGTGCCACCTCTGCGCGTGCCTGGTAGAGCGTGTCCCAGATACAGGCTGCCCGGCTGCAGACAGACCTCATTAATGTCCTGACTAATTGGATCCGCTTTTGCCAGGGCAGTACTCAACCTGAGAATATACGTGGAAGACTGCACATCTTTAGTTCTAAGATGACCATACATTCAGTTGCAGCTTGTATGTGTGCATGTGTGTGAGGTGTGTGAGGTGTGTGTACATGTATTGGGGGAGGACGAGAAAGAAATCCTGTTACAATAAATGTAAACCTTGATCGTAAGATAAATCCCTATTTCAAATGTGTTAAAATGTTAAAAAAAAGTTTAATTGCTTCTGAGACTATGATAAAACATTATCCCATTTCCTAAACTAAAGCAGACAGAGTGATAAGGCTGTAGTAGGATCCAGGGGCCATCAGAAACAGCACGGAAGACAAGGACCCTTGGGTAGGAAGGTGGCTAAGACAGATGTCGGGGAGGCTGCTGCCTTCCGAGGAGGAGGGCTGCCAACATCGGGGCACCTCCCCAGAGCCCCTTCACTAATGGGCCCTGGAGTCCCTGGCCAGCCTCCTCCTGGCCCTGGGACTCTGGGATGCACTGGCATCAGTGGGGCAGCTATATCAGGATCCCCAGTGCCCTGTTTTCCACTTGCCCAGCAGCAGTCAGTGCCTATGGCAGGCTTCGGAGTGAGGCAGATCTGGGTTCGAGCCCAGTCCATGCCACAGGCAGACACCCTGGAGGGACAGAAAACCCAGTGCTGGTTTACCTTCCTGCCATCGCCAGACAGTGATGGTGTGCTCAGGGTCCACTCCCACCGACACCAGGAGCTTTCCGGTTGCACTGAAGTTGACGTAATTCACCCCCTTGGAGTGGAAGCACCGCAGCATGGAGAGGGTGTGTTTGGTCATGGCGTCCCATACATGGATGGAAGGTGTTGTCCCTGAGTGTGGAGAGGCATGACAAAGAAGACTGATGAATGGCAGAGCCAAGGCGATGCTTATGTTCATGTAAAAGCCTTTTTGTTTGTTTGTTTAGATGGAGTCTTGCTCTGTTGCCCAGGCTGGAGTGCAGTGGCACCATCTTGGCTCACTGCAACCTCCGTGTCCAGGATTCACATGATCCTCGTGCCTCAGCCTCCTGAGTAGCTGGGATTACAGGTGCGCACCACCACACCCAGCTAATTTTTGCATTTTTAGTAGAGACAGAATTTCACCATGTTGGCCAGGCTGGTCTTGAACTCCTGACCTCAGGTGATCCGCCTGCCTCCCAAAGTGCTGGGACTACAGGCGTGAGCCACTGTCGCCCAGCCTGTAAAAGCCTTTTTTAAGACAAGCGTTTAGGGGTGTTACAGTCATCGGGCATAAAAGACCTATAGCCTGACCTGGCCAGAGGAGAAAGACTACAGGAAATTTGCTTTTAAAGGCAGAGCCCTACAGACATTTATGTTCAACACACACACACTTGTGGAGGATTTTATACGAAGGAAACTGGTGAGGTCAATGATTTGTATCTGCAATTCGGCAAGATACAATCAGCAAACATGATAGAATGACATGATTTTGCTGTGCAGATTCAAACTACTCACGGATGGAACAGCCTTACCTGGGGTTTCCGTAATATCACCTGCATTGGGTGAGCAATGGCAATGAGGAAGCGTCAAGGGAAAACAATAGCTAAAATAAGTCACGTTTCCAACAGTGAAGCACTCAACACCAGCATCAGAAAGTTCCAAATTAAACTTAAAAATGGACATGGGTTCAATGAAAACAAGCAGGAAGTTGTAAAAATTGCTCTTGAGATGACAAAGCAAAAACACACTTCTCGTAAATGTGAATCAGTTCACATTTGTCACTGGCAGTTTCCCAGGGCACAGGGGGTCCAGGCACACTTACTGAAATCTACCCTGGCCAGGCTTCAAAACACACGGAGTTCTTGACACTTGGGGTCTGAAAAACTACTCTCACAAGTCCACAGGGATGGGGCCATCGTGTATTTGGACTCTCAGGCGCTGGTCAGACTTCATGGTGCCTCAGAATCACAGTCACTGGATGTGTCAACTCAGGTGACACAGATACATTCAGGACTCAAAAAATCAACAGCAACATCAACAAGAAGGGATGGATGTAAGCAACCCACCCACTCCCTCTCCCAATAATCGCTGACAAGTCAGTGTCCCTGCAAGCTGGGAGAGCCTCAGCTGCCGCAGGACCTCCTACCTATTTGGCTGGTGGCCACCACGTTTCTGTACTTGGGGTGCTGGTTCACTGTGAGACAGAGGATGTCATCCGTATGCTCCAAATAGAAGCTCTGGCTCCCTGGGGGAGAGAGATCATGGGAGGGTGAACAGTGAAACCTAAAGACCTTTTAGGGCAACTCCAAAGCATCGTGTGGAGTCTTTGGATCCTCGTTATAAAAGTGACAGCTTACAGCCCTCAAATTCTCACTTCCGGAATTACACTTGGGGAGATGAAGGATCATTTTTTTGAAATGTTCATATTCTGTTTTGGGTCCGGGAGAAGGGACGCTAGTGTCTGTTATCTGATACATTCAAGCCGCTCTTCGATAGTTCCCACTGCTCTGTGTGGGTGCAGAGCGCAGTTCAAGTACAGGGGCTTCCAGAGACCACGATGATGAAGGTCAAAGTTTCCTCCTCTCCGTGGGACAGGAGTGGGCTTCTCACCGTCCACATCTGGGAAGAAGTAGGGGTGGGGGCCTGGAGATGATGTTTCACTGAGCAAAATGGTACCACTTCTTCATGTGGAATATGAAACTCTCAGGGACTCATCATCTTTGTTTACCAAATGCCAATCCACTTGGGGGCCTGGACGGCACAGGTGACGGCTTCACCCCGGAAAGCCCTGACTCGACATACGTCACGGGAAGTGGAAGAAAGAGCACTTCATCATCTATCACAGCAAATGGGTTTGCTGACTTCCAAAGTGGCCAATTTAAACCCACCCAAATGCTCAAGAACCTAAAGATGAAAGATGGTGTAGATACACAAGGAAGGCGTGTACTGCTACCAATATGATGGCAGGGCTAGAAAGTGAAGAAAATATATACACAATGTCAAGGTCCTCCTCCCTCAAATACACACAAATCAACATGTGCCCAGTGATTTCACTGGCTAAATCTATGTATGAACAACTACACAGAATTGACAAAGAGCAAGAATTTAAAATGAAGGTTTTTTTTTTTTTCTTGAGGCATGAGCAAATAAGGCAAAATGTGAACCTGTTTAACTCTAGTGGTAATGGTATAGCTTTCTGTTAATTTCTGAATGGTTCTTTTTGTTTGAAATGTTCATTTTTAAAAATTTGAGTCATCATGTGGTTTATTTTTTTTTTCTTTTTGAAATGGAGTCTCCCTCTGTTGCTCAGGCTAGAGTGCAACTGCACGATCTTGGCTCACTGCAATCTCCACCTCCCGAGTTCAAGCAACCTCAAACTGGGTTCTCCTGCCTCAGCCTCCTGAGTAGCTGGGGCTACAGGCACCCGCAACCATGCCTGGCTAATTTTTGTATTTTTAGTAGAGACGGGGTTTTGCCATGTTGGCCAGGCTAGTCTTGAACTCCTGACCTCAGGTGATCCGCCTACCTCGGCCTCTCAAAGTGCTGGGATTACAGGTGTAAGCCACCTCACCGGGCCTGGTATTTTTGTTTACTGTTTAATTGTTTTCAATCTCATTATAAATGTTGCTAAACTGTCAAAATACAATTTGAAAAATCCGAGCTGTTAAAAAATGGCTCATTGTAGAAATGAACAGGCAAAGTTCTGTGCTTTCTTCTTGGTTATGGTCTCTAAGGAATTCCTCCACTCCTTACACCCTGTCTCTGGCTTCTCTCCATGGCTCTCGGTTACAGAGGCTGGTGTCAACATGGAGGCCTTCTCTCTAAGGCCTACGACAAGGTGAGGTCAAGCTCCAGTCAGAAAGAGAGAAGGCTCTGGCTCTGGTAACTGAGCCTGAGCATTACCAGGCCTAACTGACACCATGCTGGAATTGGGAGAATGGCTCTATAAAGGAAGGAAAATGCTTAAGCTTTTGGGCATCTGAAGAGTGGGGAAAGCATGTAAAAAAAAAAACTAAAAGAAAAACCTGTATTTTTAACCCCCTGGTCACCTGTGGAGAGGTTCTGAACGATGCCAGCCGCCGCCGTGTGGAAGATGATGTCGGTGCCATCATTAAGGTAATGCAGGTTATTTCGACAGTCGAATCCTCTGTAGCCAAACACATGGTCTAGAGCCAGCTCCTGCATTCACACACACAGATCAACATGACCCTCACAGGAAGGAAGGGAGAGCCGAGGAACACACCCACATCGCGTGAGCGGCCTCGTGTGTCCCGGGGAATGGTATGGCTGGTGAGGCCAACACACGCTCACTGAAAACATTCTGCTTCTTGACTGGCTGAGAAAATGCAACCCCTTCTTTAGTTTTCTGAAATGCTGGGGTGGCAGGCTAACACACAGAATCACCGTGACTTTCCAAAAAACCCAGATTTACTTCCTGGCTCTGTCGTTGTGCCAAAGTCCAGAGATTTGATGCCCTGTCAAGTGTACCTAGCAGTTTTGTGTCTGTGCCTTGGCAGGCACTCTGGGTGAGCTGAATGGCGGCTCAGAGGTTTGCTCTAATAAACTCTCATCAACGCGCCAGGGCGGGCAGAGCAGACACAGAGACAAAGGCCATGCTCGTTCTGCCGCCTGGTGCTTGCTCTACAAAGTCACTACATATGTGCTATTTTTCCCTCCCAAACTAGATACTGTTAGGGTTTCTAGTCTTTCTCTTCTTCCTGTCTTGTCTTCTAAGACAAAGAACAGTGGCTGATTCAGATCAGTTCTTAATCCAACACGGACCTCTCGGGCAGCTCCTCTGTGCCCAGCATGGTGCAGGTGCTAGGAGGCAGTAGAGGCAGGGAGCTGCAGGAAGGTTTCGCGTGAGAAGCATCAGGAAAGACTGCACAGAAAAGACACCAGGGAAGGTCTTGGAAGGACCAGGGTGCTGGGAGCTGGCAGGAGGAGCCTTCCAAGCAGAAAGTTCCAAGCAGAAAGTCCCAGGCAGCTTCCGAGAACATAAGCAGTGGGTTTGTGGGGCTGGAGATTTACACTGTGGTGAGGAATCATAGGCAGTAAGCTTAGAAGGTGGCTCTGGGTAAGGTTTTGAAACCATGAACTTGAATCCCATTGGCAATGTGGGACTCTCCCAGGTCTGAGGGAGAGGGGAAAGAAGAGAGCCAAGGGACCTACTCCATTTCACTTAACTGTCTTTGGGACGTGCAGATGGGGCTGTCCACCAGGTAGGTCTTAGAACGTCAATATCAAATTAGAAGTAATTGTTTAACTTACCTCCACCAGTTTCTTTTTTTTGGTGATATTGTTCTTCTGCAGTTTCTCAGGCTGGGGAGCTGCTCGGCTAACGGGTGGCCTGGAAGAGACAGCGGCCAGAGGAAGCACAGCGTTGAATGAGGGCTGCAAGGCCACCTTCCTGGTGCAGCCTGTCTAGGCCAGTGCCGGCCTCCTCTCTCCTCCCGCCTGAGGCCCCTCCACCTGGATCTGTTCGGTCCTGCCCTCCTCTCCCCCTCCCCACCTGCCGTGGGACCTGGCCTGAATTCACAGGCACTGGGTTGGACCTCGTCCCTCTGCTTAACCTTCTCCTGGGAGCAGGAAGACCACATGGGCTTGAAACAAGAGGGGCTTGGTTCAAAACCAAGGAGCGGCCTGACCATGAAGGGAGAGAGGCCACATTTCCTGGACTTGCTGACCTTTTTCAGATAGGGATGTGCTCATGTTGTTCAGAATTAAGTTGTCAATGGCCGCGGTGTGGTGTGAAGTGGCACTTACAAGCCAGGCTTCGGAACGGGCCCTAAGGACCACGTGCCAAGTGCCTAGGTCGGCCTCACTTCTCAAACAGGCAGGCAGGAAGCGGAGGGACAGGAGACAGACAGCACTCGCGCCTCCCACTCCGCCCTCGCCTCAGGACTCAGGTCTGCCTTCAGCTGTTACCACACCAAAGGTTGCTTTTCCCACCTCAGTTTTGGGGACTGGGGCCTCCAAATTTAATGAAGAGATTTTATAACGTGTAAGCCCTAATGGAATCCTAGATGAGTAGACCAGTTCTTGGTCATGTGGGGTTTCCTTAAATGAGATTTCTCTATGGATGGGTCGAGAGAGAGAACTGTACCAGCTCCCACTGCATGTTCCAAAGTAATTAGTTATTGCTCCCGGGATATGCAAAGAGAAGGATTACCTTGATCCCCTTGTAAGCAGCAAACAAAGCCAAGTGAGAAACTTAGTACAGTTTAGAGCCGTATTAGCAACCACCTCATTCATGCACAAGCATTTTCCAAGTGAACAGACATTCCTGTGTGGCACACACCATGCTTCCCCGGCATGCCAGCAAAGAACTAAAACAGAAATGAAAGAGTGCACCAGTCTACAAATTCAGAAAGCTCATACCCCGGCGTCTCTGGGCAAACTCTGCACTAAAGCGCCTACAGAATAGGGAGAGAAAAGGAAGCTTTGTCAATGCTTCCCGCACACTCTCCGTGACTTTACGAATGCGCCCAGGGACTCTGCTTACTTTAGAGTGTGCTGGGGAGAAACTTGCTGTCAGAAAAACAATGACATCTTCCTGGATGTCGTGGGGAGTTATGTACAATGGATACTTTGTTTCCAAATCAAGTTCAACTCATAATTTAGCCTAATAATTCCCAGTGTTTCTTGGTAGGTCAGCTTGCCTGCTCCAATGGCTTGCGGGGGTTCTTTTTGTGTGCAGGGGAAGACAGGGTACCTTTATTTTCTCAGAAACTCTTCAATCAAAACATGTTATGCAATCATAAGTGATAATTGGACCAAATGGTATTATAATCACCACTGAAGAATGGGTAGAGAGCGCATCTCTGCAAAACGACACCCCCGGCTGACATCATCGCCACCAAATTGAGCAAAATTGGGAGACTGGGGGCATGCCAGTTCTCACAATGAGACACTTCCTTCACATTCATTATCGCTTCCCAGGACATCTGCTCTTTCTTCTGTTTTAGTGGGACTTTCAAATGAAATCCGTGGGTTTCTTCTTTCACCTAAGAATGTTTAAGTGTATGACAAAAGCAAGCCAGGGGCTACGAGGAGAGCAAGAGGACACTGGAACTATGGCATGGCTCATAAGGCATAATTCGAGGATAAACACAGGGCTCGTTTTCAGGGGACACACAGGTTGTATAATATGTAATATATTATACAGTGAATATAGAGTACGCATACAAGCACAAACACCGTGTACTTATATATACAGGAGATTGTATATATATACACAGAGGCAATCTGATGCTTTTTTTTCACCTTGATTTTCAGAAAAAAACCGAAAGGTAAAGCAATCTCAATGTTTCTTTCTCATTTCGCAAGCATATGTTTACAGCTGTATTGCTTCAAAACTGAAGATGAGAGGAGCAAGGGGAAGAAACCTGCATTGTGGCAAATTCAGCGGATTTTAAGTATTGACCCTTTGCGGTTGTGGGTTCCGCGTGAACACTTAGTACTGGATGTTCACCGAACACCTGTGTTTTTCTCCAGAGCGGTGTGAATACTTACTTGACAATTCCCTGCCTCCAAAGGAAAGCAAGTTAAAACACAATACAAGTATTAAAGGCTTCTTTCCAGGTATCTATAAACAGTGTTCATAACATCAAATATGGGAGGGACTGCCAGAGGCTTCACACACAGCCAAACACTGGAGGTTTAACATTTCTCTGTGGATCTAAATCCTTCTAGATTCAGATTCCATCAGAAATGGGGCTCTGAAAAGCTTTGCTGAGGTGGGAAAGAGTGGAGGCATGAGGACATTCACTCACTTTCAGTCCCATCAACTCATTAGAGTTGGTCATTCCCAGCTGTCATTCCCAGCTGTCATCCCCAGCTTGGCCCCACTGGGTCTCCCTGCCAATGCCCGGTTGTGCCCATGGCCTTCCTCGCACTCCTCGCGAGGAAGGCCATGGGCACAACCGGCCATTGGCAGGGAGACCCAGTGGGGCCAAGAGCTGGGAAGGTGAGAGGGTGAGAGACTGGAGGTGGGAGGAGCAGAGACACAAAGGGGCCTGGTGGGGCAAGTAGGCTTTGAGGTGATTGGGGGGGTCAGGGAGGGGGGAATAAAGGAGGAAGAGCTTCCATTGGGCAGGAAATTTAAGGAAGGAGCCTGGCAAGACAGCAAACAAACTGGATAAACAGGGGAGAGGGTGGCAGACGGTCTAAGCTCTGGAGAGCAGGAGAAGCCTGCCAAGGAAGACACAGTGAAGGCAGGAAGCCCAGGGAGAGGCCTGTGAACTCCAGCCTGGGGCTTGGTGTTGAGTAACAAGTCGGCCCTGCTCTTCAGTGCCTGTGGGGAGAGTCACAACCCTATACTCCCTGTGGGAACAGGTGGCACATTCTGTGGGCAGGGCAGGATCATGGGAAGGCCAATTCCTGCTGTCATCCCACTGCCCAGCAGCTGGGCTGCTGAAGAGAAAGCTTAGACTCAGCTGAAGATGTGGGGAGTGTTATACTGACAGGCGCTCTGGCCCTGCACAGACCCCCAAGGCAGGCCAATGCCTGGGCACTTGTCCCTCCTTTCCCCCTCCCCAAGGCACTGGCCTGACAGAGCAAGAGGTGGAGCAGAGCACACAATGACCTGAAATGTGTAAGAGCATTCACGTCCAATGTGCTCAGGGAAGCTTCTGAAACCACTGAGGTCACGAGTCAGTTGCAACCCAAGATAAAGTACAACATGAGAGCCAACTGGGGAGTGAGGCGTGGACAGCCTGTGAGAAACCAAGTCGTTCCAACCAGTTTCTATAAAGAGGGGTGTGGGTGTGGGTGTGAGTGTGGGAAAACTCAGATCCATCTAGCCAAGAAACGCAAGTTTGAAGTTGTTTTGAGTCGTGTTCATCAGACAATATTCAGTGTCCTTGGAGGAAACAGCTTTCTTCAGCTTCCAAAATGTGGCATAAAATACACCAAAGGTTTTAGGATGTCTTGGGAAATCCAAAGGGGAGGGGGAGGGGGAAAGGGAAAGGAGAGAGAAGGCAGAGAAGGAGGGGAGAGAGAAGAGGGAGGGGGAGGGGAGAGAGAAGAGGGAGGGGAAAGGGAGAGAGAAGAGGGAGGGGAAAGGGAGGGAGAAGAGGGAGGGGAAAGGGAGAGAGAAGAGGGAGGGTAAAGGGAAAGAGAAGAGGGAGGGGGAAGGGAGAGAGAAGAGGGGGGGGAAAGGGAGAGAGAAGAGGGAGGGGAAAGGGAGAGAGAAGAGGGAGGGGAAAGGGAGAGAGAAGGGGGGAGGGGGGAGGGAGGGGAAAGGGAGAGAGAAGGGGGGAGGGGGGACGGAGAGAGAAGAGGGAGGGGGGAGGGGGGAGGGAGAGAGAAGAGGGAGGGGGAAGGGAGAGAGAAAAGGGAGGGGGAAGGGAGAGAGAATGTGAAGGGAGAAAGAAGGGGGAGGGGGAGGGGAGGGGGAGAGAAGGAGAGGGGAGGGGGAGAGAAGGAGAGGGGAGGGGGAGAGAAGGGGAGGGGAAGGGGGAGAGAAGGGGAGGGGAAGGGGGAGAGGAAGGGAGGAGAAGGGGAGGGGAAGGGGAGGGGGAGGGAAGGGGGAGAGGAGGGGAGGGGAAGGGGGAGAGAAGGGGAGGGGAAGGGGGAGGGAAGGGGGAGAGAAGGGGAGGGGAAGGGGGAGGGGGAGGGGGAGAGAAGGGGAGGAGGGGAGAGAAGGGGAGGGGAAGGGGGAGGGGAGGGGGAGAGAAGGGGAGGGGAAGGGGGAGGGGAGGGGAGAGAAGGGGAGGGGAAGGGGGAGGGGAGGGGGAGAGAAGGGAGGGGAAGGGGGAGGGGAGGGGGAGAGAAGGGGGAGGGGAAGGGGGAGAGGAAGGGGAGGGAAGGGGGAGAGAAGGGGAGGGGAAGGGGGAGGGAAGGGGAGGGGAGGGGAGAGAAGGGGAGGGGAAGGGGGAGGGAGGGGAGGAGGAGAGAAGGGGAGGGGAAGGGGGAGGGGAGGAGGAGAGAAGGGGAGGGGAAGGGGGAGGGGAGGGGGAGAGAAGGGGAGGGGAAGGGGGAGGGGAGGGGGAGAGAAGGGGAGGGGGAGGGGAGGAGGAGAGAAGGGGAGGGGAAGGGGGAGGAGGAGGAGAGAAGGGGAGGGGAAGGGGGAGGAAGAGGAGAGAAGGGGAGGGGAAGGGGGAGGGGAAGGGGGAGGGGAGGGGAGAGGGGAGGGGGAGGGGGAGGGGAGAGAAGGGGAGGGAAGGGGGAGAGAAGGGGAAGAGAAGGGGAGGAGGAGGAAGGGGGAGAGAAGGGGAGGAGGAGAGGGAGGAGAGAAGGGGGAGGAGGAGAGGGAGGAGGAGGGAGGAGAGAAGGGGAGGAGGAGAGGGAGGAGAGAAGGGGAGGAGGAGAGGGAGGAGAGAAGGGGAGGAGGAGAGGGAGGAGAGAAGGGGAGGAGGAGAGGGAGGAGGGGAGGGGAGGAGGAGAGAAGGGAGGGAGGAGAAAAGGGGAGGGAGGGAGAGAGGGGAGGGGAGAGGGGAGGGGGGGGAGGGAGGGGGAGAAGGGGGAGAGGGGTGGGGGAGAGGGAGGGGAGGGGGAGAGGGGAGGGGAGGGGAGAGGGGAGGGGGGAGAGGGGAGGGGGAGAGGGGAGGGGAGGGGGAGGGGAGGGGGAGAGGGGAGGGGGGGAGAGGGAGGGGGAGAGGGGAGGGGAGGGGGAGAGGGAGGGGGGAGAGGGGAGGGGGAGAGGGGAGGGGAGGAGAGGGAGGGGGAGAGGGGAGGGAGGGAGAGGGGAGAGGGAGGGGAGAGGGGAGGAGGAGAGGGGAGAGGGGAGAGGGAGAGGGGAGAGGGAGAGGGGAGGGGGAGAGGGGAGAGAGAAGGGGAAGAGTGGGGGAGGGGAGGCGAGGCAGAGAGAAAGGTAAAGGGGGAGGGGGAAACAAGGGGGAGGGGAAAACAAGTGGGGGAGACAAGGGGGGAGATAAGGGGGGGAGACAAGGGGGAGGGGGAGACAAGGGGGAAGGGGAGACAAGGGGGAGGGGGAGACAAGGGGGAGGGGGAGACAAGGGGGAGGGAAGAAGGGGGAGGGGAGAGGGAAAAAGGGGGAGGGAAGAAGGGGGAGGGGAGAGGGGAGAAGGGGGAGGGGAGAGGGGAGAAGGGGGAGGGGAGAGGAGGGGGGAGGGGAGAGGGGAGAAGGGGGAGGGGAGAGGAGGGGGGAGGGAAGGGGGAGGGGAGGAGGAAAGTCAGGGGAGGGAAGGGGAAAAAATCTTAGGAAAAATCTCCAAAGCCATGGGGCCTCTCTGTTATCAAGACCAAACTTGACTGTGTTAAGTGCAGTCTTCAGAACTGGACTCTGCTGAGAGTATTCCTAAGAACTGGACTCTGTTAAGTGGATTCCTATATCTTCCAGAACCATGTACAGAGATGCTTAGTGATGGGGCTGATGGAAAGGATTCAGGCAGAACTACAAGATGTCCTGAAAGAAAATGCTCTTGAAAATGAGCATACCCTCTTGAAAATGCTCTTGACCAACGCTATCACACAGCCTTGTGGTTTTTTTGTTGCTGTTGTTTTAAAAATCAGGATATCATTTTAGACTTGGCTATTTTAGGTGAATACAAAGTTATCTGGGTGAAAAAATGAGAGCCCAAAGGGTGGAGTGAAGGGAACTAAGTAAAGATGGGCAGAATACTGAAGAGGCCACTGTGATGATCCAAGAGAGGAATGATGAGGCACTTGACTGGAGCAGTGGTTGTGGAGAAGAAAACAGGGGCATATTTAAAGAAATACTGGTGGAATATACTTCGCAGCACTTTGTTACGGATTGCTTTTATGGGATGAACTAGGGAAAGCAACCCAAGGGCAATACCAGTTTTCCGGGCTTGCATATCCGGATAGATGGTGGCATCATAGAATGAGACAGAGAGAAAATATGAATGAGGGAAGGTGATGAGTTCAGTTTTGGCATGTTGAGCTTTGGACACCCGTGAGATAGCTTTGTTAGTTGAAAGTTCCACTGACAGATGGGAGTCAGTGATATGATCCTGGGAATCACTAGCCAATGGGTGGGATATGAAAGATTAATTAAGAGAGAGGGTAGATGGTAGAGGGTGAAAAGAGGCCAGCCAAAGGTAAAATCCTGAGGACCAACAGCATTGTAAGGGGCTGGAAGAGGAAGCAGAGGTGAGACACTGAGAAGAGAGAGGGAGGCATTAGAAGGGCCAAGAGAGATTCTTTCAAAAAGACGAGAAAAGTATGTTTATATTCTTCTCCAATATGCACTGTCCAATTCGGTAGCCAATGCCACATGTGGCTTTCAAGAGCCCGAATTGTGCTATAACTGTAAAATACACCTGGAATTTGAAGTCCTATTGAAAAATTTTTAAAAGAATGTAAAATATAATTTTATATTACATATTGAAATGTTTTTTAATATATCAAGTTAAAATATATTATTAAAATCAATGTCACCATCCCAAATTTTCTAATGTGCCTGCTAGAAAATTTATACCTGTGGCTCACATATTTCTATTGGACCATGCTACTCTAGAAGAAACAAGTTCTTTTAGTAGGACAGAGAGAGGTCACTGGACTCAGGGGTTAGAGAGCCCGCATGTCAACAGAATGGCAGGGAC